CGCAGGACTGGAAACTCGCGGGCAAGGCCCCGGTTTGCAAGACGGTCCCCTATCTCTTAACGGAACTGGCCGGCGCAGACGCGGCGTCATCCTTTGCCTGACCGCGTTGGAAGCAGGTTGAGCTGCGACTCGTCTGGGCCGGGCCGCGGAGTCGTCTCACCGCCCAACAGTGAGTTCCTGGTCTCGTTTGGGGCGGTGCATCCGCTGGCTGACGGACGGGGCGCCATGCGGTGATGTTGGGCTCTCTGGAGCGTCGAGCAGACGAAGGCAGCGCCGCGCGTTTGATGATCTGGCCCTCAGGCGCTGCACAATCCCGCTGCTTGATCCAGGTCTCCGCCAGGTTAAAAGAAAGGTAGCAGTCTCGTATAGTAGTTTGCCAGCATGGCACTAGAGGGGGGATTACTTTACCGAGCCCCGTGAAGGCATTGGCTGACTGCTCAAAAAGCCCCCGCCCCTGAAGGGGCGTTGTCAGCTGTTATTGACTCGGGGTATCATTCTTGGGCTGCTTTGATCCGCACATTGCCGACCTATGGGCTGAAAAGTGTCAGCGGCATATATTTCTCTAAAAAAAGAGTGTTTCAAGCTTTCATGACTTTCATCACAAGAACGTTTTTTCCGAATAAGTCTGTTGTTATCAGTACAAAACACACACGCTAGGAAAAGCAAGGCCAATGAAATATGTTTATGCTCTATTGATAAGCAGAGTTCAATGAGATTTCTCCCGCCGGACGAGCTACTTCAAGCTAAAATTCTTAGCTACTCAGGAGGATTTCGGGAAGACTGGTTTGACCATAAAATCGGACAGATATGATCTAACAAGACGTGGAAAGACAAAAGATGGCTTATTCATTCAAGTGTTATACTCCAAAAGGTGCGATCCCAAGTTTCGATGCTGACTGCGTGAACCATCTCTCTCACGTTCACGTTTTTTCCTTTATAGAGGAAAGCTGCACATTTCGATTAAAATGTGTCTTGGTTTCGGCTTGAATGTACTTATAATTATGCGGCCATATTTTTTTGCATTAAACTCTAGGCGGTTTGTGAACCTTCTACATTATGCAATAATGGCTAACACTGGCGGTGAATGATTGCCAGTGAACTTAACTGTATGCTACCTTACAAGCTTTTCAAGGGCATGGTCTCATATGGCTGACTTCTGTGAATTGAATTGTATTTTGTAAATGAAAACTGAAGAGGTGAAGATAAGGCCGTGTTTGACACATGCAGCGCATACTGTTATGCTGGCGACTATTACTCGATGTAGGCCCGCCGGCCCTTACACCCTGCGCCTTATCCAGATATTGGCTACTGCTGGCATAAACAATTATCAAGGAAGCTGTGTTCACGATGCAAGTGCCAGCAGGAATGATAAAGTTTTTCTGGTATGCGCATTGATAATTATCACATTTTTTGTCCTTCACTTCTGCCTATGCTTCCTTGACACTGCAGGTGGAGAGCTACGAAGGCACAACTCAAAATAAAATGCGGCATTAGTAATGCTAGGGACTTGAAACATCAGCGCTGGAGTGGGCCTGGGTCCCACTTTTTGTTAGGGGAATTCAAAGTAGGAAATTGAACTAAATAAGGAAAATTTATCTTTCAAAAACGTGGGCCAATCGGACGGGTACTTCTCTGGTGGTGGGGGTGGGTGGGGGGGGGGGGGGGGGGAAGGGAAAAGGCTTCTCTCCTGGCTTTCCACCAGCAGGGATCATTCGTTAACTGCAACGCTAGCCCTCACTTATGGAGACTCTGGCTGCGTCCCCGGCCAGAGTGGCCGTGCATCCCCTTGATGAAATTCTAGAGGAGGTCGGCCGAGATCAGAACATCCGATGGGGGGAGGGGGGAGGAGTGTCCCTCCTTATACACGCATTTTTATTGCATCACCGTATTTGGCATCTGACACAAAGTAAAAATTCGACGCATACTTCGGAAATGCAATGAGAGCCATCGAAGTTAAACAGACATAGGTGTAATACAACAATGCCAGCTCAATACGTGGGTGATCGAACCAATACATACGATAAGGACCGGGTTGAAGTGAGTCGAGCAAATTTGTAGCTAATGTGCATATGTTTAACCGAATATATATATATATATATATATATATATATATATATATATATATACAAAGACATGTGTATTTACGTATGCGCGTGCGTGCGCGTGCATGTGTACATTGTACGACATGATCGGTGCAAATGATGAATTGAGTACATGCAGCTGAACCCAAAATGTGCATCACAAAACCGTGGCGTGCTTTTCAGAGCTCAAACAGCGCCAGCATGGGCCCGCTCGGTGACATAGCAAAGTTGATGCGGGGCAAAGGACCAGGTAGCGTCAAGATCGACAGCACGGTTTTCCAGCTCCATTATATGCTCACGACACGTCTGTTTTGGGGTGAGTCCTGAGAACGAAAGACAATGTGCGCGTCACTGACAGCTCAGAAGAAACGCTTTAGAAATCGCACTACTGTGTTACACCGTGCTGAAATAAATCACATGTCTTACACGATTGCGGTTTGACTACGCTGTGCCTATGCGCCAGCAATCACACGGACTGCCTTGTTATCGACGTTTGCTTCGGATTCACCATCGAAGCTTAAATGTGTTCGCCTTTGAGTACGCAGCAGTATAGCGTTTTGGTATTGTCCTGCGTCATTTATGGCACATTGACACTCCTGCTGAGCACAAATGTGACCACGTTGTTTTAACACCGTGTGAGATACAATTCATTTCAGATCGTCTATGCGCATTCGAATTTGCAATAACGTGACAATTTCGCCTCTGAACCCTTGTCAAATAATATGATCCAAATGATATTATATTTAGAAAGAAGCATCAAGAAGCGAAAAGGCAAAACAAGTAAAAAAAGCAAGAAGCAATAGAAGCATTGAGCAAGAAGCAGAAGCAAAGAGGCCATTTTATGTATTTGTATCGCTCCAGCACTGAGCTCAGTGCTAACATCGCTTGCGTGCACCGTGATGTTCGCCATAGCCTTATAGATGTGTCTAATATTCCGCAAAACGATGTACCCATCCTTCCATTCCGCCACAAAGTCCACGAGGTTGGAGAGTCCTGATGCAACAACAGGATCTCCGAGACGGCCATGGGTTTCTATTACATGCAATTGGTCATCGAACTGGTCACTGGCAGCGACACGATCAGCGGCTTTCGGGCAGTTCCAAGGGCCTCTGAGATAGCTAAAACACTCTCGACATGGTCTTCCGGAGTGGCCAAGACGGAGAAGAGAACTTAAGACCACGACGGGGCGACGAAGCAGATCAAGGGTCTCAAGAAGATATCGGTAAAAACAGATTCGGTCTGGTCTAAAATGTAAAATGTGGATAGCTCAACTGCTGTTAAGCACGCAGTTAAATGCAGCGAATTCCCGAGTGCTCTGCTGATGGTCTTACGCTTCCTGTAAACAGGGATAAATGTGCATCACCAAACAAAAAAGAGATGTCATGAGCTTACAACGGCAAAGAAAGTACTGAATAGGTCGCAATGTCAATTCACCGACTCCCGCCCAGATAAGCTTGCAAATCCCTTTGTTTCCTGGGGATAGTTCGAAACACGATCTCCGTGTATTTATCTGTTTCGGTAGCTGAGTTTTTTTAAATTTGTTCAAATGCTTTGAAAATTTCATGGTACTTTCTGTCCTACTTCACGGGATTGTCGGAATCTTCGTCTAGACCATATTGGCTGTCATTCGGGTTCAGACGCCAGATGACGTGTTCTTCGTTGAACACACATTTTTGAGGACTCTATTCATTTGCTTAACACGCGTCCGGGTGGCCAGTTAGACACCCTTCGCTCGGGTAGGGGTCAATTTGTTTCGATACCCCCCTAATGCCCCCAAGATCTCAGAAATTAAGAAAGCTAGAAACGCCGAACTCACAGGATACTTTGACCTGTACGTAAGCTCACCTGGGTCAAATTTTGTGGTACCTAGGTTATGAACTTCAGGTCAAATAAGGTCAAACAAGGTCAATTTCCAAGTTGGTCTTCAAAGGGCCCCCAGAACCTAGATAACTGCTCTAAGCACAGTGTCGCATACTCATTTCAAGTCAGTGACCTCTTTTAACGTTTTGAAGGTCGTGGTGGCCAAAACCATACAAGACCGCATTGAGTAAGTCCATGGAAAGTGTACAATGTGATTCCTGTTATCAATAAATTTCAAATGGGCGCCAGGAACTGCCCCATACAGCAAGTCCTGGAGTAATAACACAGGTTGGTTTTGACCTTGGTCTAACCTTCATACCTGACCCTAGGCCAATGTAATTTGTTCATCCAATGTTTGTGGTGCCTGAGAAAGTGTCTCCGAAATGCATGGCTCCGTCTAACACTCCGTCGTTGGATTAGATTGAACGATTCCCTAGAAATTGACTTCGCAGGAACCATGGCCTTTGACTTTGACGTGCCATAGGTCAGTGACCTTAACAGGTACATCCAAATTGTTGGTGCCAGACGATCCGTTATTCAATTGTCTACAGCTAAGCAAAATTTGGCGCGGCTTCGCCGCGTCATTTGGAATCCATTTTGGAAACAACCTTGGGGGAACAATTTGCCTCCCCCCACCCGAGCGCATTAATATTATGGATCATTATACTCGTAGAACGCTTGATAAGCGCAATGACATAGAGCTCAATATGTTGACAACCACCATGCAGCATGATTGTGAACGTGGAGGTGCGGGTGCTGGTGCGGGTGCGGGTGTGTGTGTGTGCCCTTGAGCATGCGTGTGCGTGTGCATGCGCATGTGCGCGTCCGCGTGTGCATGCGTATGCATGAGCGTGTCCGCGTGTGCATGCGTATGCGTGAGCGTGTGTGTGTGTGTGTGTGTGTGTGTGTGTGTGTGGTGTGTGTGTGTGTGTGTGTGTGTGTGTGTGTGTGTGTGTGTGTGTGTGTGTGTGTTGTGTGTGGGTGTGTGTGTGTGTGTGTGTGTGTGTGTGTGTGTGTGTGTGTGTGTGTGTGTGGCGCGCGCGCGCGCGCGCGCGCGCGTTTGCGCGCGTGTGTATGCGTGCGTGTGTATTTTCGGTAGTTTGTAACATATCAAAGAGTTCAGAATTCCAACATTCTTCCACCTCGACCTGGTTTGTTTTTCAAAGGTCATTTGGACCAACGTTCCATCACAAAATCTGGTGCAGTTTGCGCGAGCTATCCGATACCGTTCGCATCTCAATCCTAGATTGTCCTAGTTTCGAGATAACGTGGTGCGCACTGAGACCGACGTCGTTCGGAGACGTGAGAAAAATGTCCGTCCAATAAGGGCTGACAGGGGACGACAGACGACAAAGCAGCATACAATGTTTTCTTGACTATTATGCACTTTTTGCGTGTCGACAAAGCACAACTTTAATGACCTGACGACCAAACGCGGAAACTGAAGTACACGGGGACCATGGCCAGTGGGTCATCAGCCACAGCCGCAGTATTGGACCATGCTCCGAGCGCTGTGGTGTGCACGCTATATAGACGCTATACCAGGAGTCTCTTTTCACAGAATGCGATGAGTCTGGGGTGGGGCGGGGGTGGGAGGAGCGCTGAGCAGGTTAAAACGGCTACATCTTTTGTGGGGCTAGAGTCTTCTTCCCAACTGAATAGGAGGAGCCACAACTCTGCACTGTAACTCATTTACAGCCCATAGCGCCATGGCGGCCGGTAACAGTGTGTACTGCTCCCTTCCCAATTTACAACCCCAACAACGTCCTAGGCTCGCGTGTCAAAATTGTGGCGTATGCCTGCTTTTCAGACAACACAGCAAGGCATAAAGCATTTTATCGCCTTCTTAGCATTTTATGTTACACCGCTCTGCATTTCCCCGGTCGGCTCATGTATTTTCAATTTTGACATGTTGACATAAGAAATCAATCATTAAGTCATCGCCTATCGATGTGCGTCAGTCACATCAAAAATGGCTTCAAGACGTGCAGCTGTGTGTGACAAAAACGAAATGATCAATTCCAACTTTTGCCATCCTCCGGCTTTGCTATTGGGCATTCGGGACATTTGTCTGTTGAAGAATGTGGACTTCATCAAAAGGAGTCGAACGCAGGTTTTTTTTTTGCATTCAGCCACTACTTTCTGAGATTTCGGGGAGGGGCAGATCCTCTCCCCCACCGCATCCCCTCTGCCCAAAAATAGGTTAACGGGTAGCTTGCCCGAAATAGGCCTAGGACGCAATTGCGCCCACGGGTGTGCGTATTGTATGCGTGCACATGTGCTTGTGCTTGCGAAGACTAGTTAGAGGTGGACTTGCTATGATGCATGGAGGTTCTACGCTGTCCATCCTCATGTCAACGATCTGTACGCACGAATGCGCTCGCAGGAACTACAGGACACAAGACGTTCACAATCGTGCGCTCGCGGGAGCTACGGGACACAAGACGTTCACGCTCGTGCGCTCGCGGGAGCTACAGGACGCATGACGTTCACGATCGTGCGCTCGCGAGAGCTACAGGACACAAGAAGTTCACGATCGTGCGCTCGCGGGAGCTACAGGACACAAGACGTTCACGATCGTGCGGCATGCGCATCAGCTGGCTGATCCCGTTGTCTGCAGGGTTCTCCATCCTGGTGACAGCCTACAGCATGATAGGAAATCCCGTCTCCTGCGCCTGCTCTCAGTGTGGGTCGGAGTCAGTGCCCTTGGACGCGATGAACACCTACTGCTGGGTCACAGCCACTTACACCGTGACCAAAGATTCCAAGAACCGGTTCAATGCAGGTGTGTCAAAAGAAGCCGACGTTACTCTCAGCTGACAACCCCCCTCACTCTAACTCCGTTGCCGTTCTGGGCAGCTTGCGCATTGAGCCTTTTGATGAGTGTAAACACCACCGGGCTTACGCATGAGGAGCCTATAGAGGGCTGCCACAATGGGGTTGTTTTGTCGTTCTGCACGTGAATGGTAGCGTGGTAACCTCTTCCGGTCACTTCGTGACATTTTGTCTCTCCGCACGCAACTGCAGTGCACGCGTCCACATAGGCAGACAATCTCTCTCTCTCTCTCTCTCTTCTCTCTCTCTCTCTCTCTCTCTCTCTCTCCTCTCTCTCTCTCTCTCCTCTCTATTCTCTCGCTCTCTCTCTCTCTTCTCTCTCTCTCTCTCTCTCTCTCTCTCTCTTCTCTCTCTCTCTCTCTCTTCTCTCCTCTCTCTCTCTCTCTCTCTCTCTCTCTTCTCTATCTCTCTTCTCTCTCTCTCTCTCTCTCTCTCTCCTCTCTCTCTCTCTCCTCTCTCTCCTCTCTCTCTCTCTCTCTCTCTCTCTCCTCTCTCTCTCTCTTCTCCTCTCTCTCTCTCTCTCTCTCTCTCTCTCTCTCTCTCTCTCTCTCTCTCTCTCTCTCTTCTCTCTCTCTCTTATCTCTCTCTCTCTCTCTCTCTTCTCTCTCTCTCTCTCTCTCTCTTCTTCTCTCTCTCTCTCTCTCTCTCTCTCTCTCTCTCTCTCTTCCTCTCCTCTCTCTCTCTCTCTCTCTCTCTCTCTCTCTCTCTCTCTCTCTCTCTCTCTCTCTCTCTTCTCTCTCTCTCTCTCTATCTCTCTCTTCATCTCTCTCTCTCTCTCTCTCTCCTTCTCTCTCTCTCTCTATCTTCTCTCTCTCTCTATCTCATTCTCTCTTCTCTATCTCTCTCTCTCTCTCTCTCTCTCTCTCTCTCTCTCTCTCTCTCTCACGTAACTGCAATGCTGGCGTGCACACAGGCAGACGGTCAGCGGTGTTATGCCAGGGGACGGTAATGTGCATGCCAGTCTTCCGGTCGCGTGCGGAGAGACGAAATATCCTGAAGTGATGAAATGGCGTGCCGATGTTGACAGACGATCAGCGGTGTCCAACGTGGGATAACAGAGAGTGCACCTCCTCGATCTGCTCCTCTTAGCCGCTGTGTCGTGTCCTCTTAGCCGCTGTATTGTGTCCTCTTAGCTCGCTGTACTGTCTCCTCTTAGCCGCTGTATTGTGTTCTCTTAGCCGCTGTATTGTGTCCTCTTAGCCGCTGTGTTGTGTGCTCTTAACCGCTGTATCGTGTTCTCTTAGCCGCTGTATTGTGTGCTCTTAGCCGCTGTATTGTGTTCTCTTAGCCGCCGTATTGTGTCCGTTTGTGGAGCCGGCGCACCATGTAGCCTCGGCCTGCTAAAGCCTCCGCCACATCGCGCCGGCAGATGGCGGGATCGGGCCGCACACGGCTGATGACCGCAACTACCAGACATACTACCAGTGGGTGCCGTTTACGCTGGCGCTGCACGGCGTACTCTTCTACGTGCCGCACTGGTTGTGGAAAATGGCAGAGGGCGGCCGGATCGCGACCATGACCCAGGACATGCGCCTGCCCGTGCTGGACCATGGCGTGCTCAAGGCGCGTGTCCGCACCCTGGCCGTGTACCTGCGTCAAACACTCGGCTCTCATCAGAGCTACTTCGTACGCTTCGTTGTCTGCGACGCTCTCAACGTCGCTAATGTTGTCAGCGCCATATTTTTGATCGACCGTTTTCTCAACGGGAAGTTCCTCGACTTTGGAATTATTTCGGTGAGGTACTTGAGGCATGCTGGAGAGGAGGTAAGTCCGTTCACATCCACGTTTCCTAAGCTGACTAAGTGTGAGATGAGGCCATACGGCACCTCAGGTTCAAGACAGACCATCGACGCCCTCTGCGTCCTCGCTCTGAACGTGCTGAACGAGAAGGTGTACCTGGTGTTGTGGTTTTGGCTTATCATCCTGTCGGTCCTGACCGTGGTTGCCTTCGTCGGCCGAGTCTTGCTCATGCTGATCCGTGGCGTCCGCGTGCCCATGCTGGAGAGCAAGGCCCGCTCCAAGTTCAGCCCCGACATCCGCAAGAGCGTGAACGCACTTGAGATAGGAGACTTTTTCCTGCTCAGCCTAATGGCCAGGAACATGGACGCCTCCGGCTTCAGGCTCCTGCTCAAAGAGCTAGCTAACGGTGATTGTCCAAACGGCCTCCTGGAAAATGAAGACCAGGGCCCCTTGGATGAAGAAGGTCCGATGAAGCTCACAAAAACGTCACGCAACAGGATGAAGGAATGCGATGATTAGATTAGTACTCTCTGCTTTGTGAAGGCGTAGGCTGGGGTTCACCGTTTCTGTGCAAGAACGGAACGGTCACACCTTGCGAATGAAGTTTACAATTGTATGCTTCAAGTTCAGGCGAGGCATTCAGACCACTCAAAAGCTGAAGCATACATTACATATTTAGGACGCGGTCGGAAAAGTGACAGGAACTGAAGCATGATAGCCTGCAAGGCAACCATGCGCTGCTGAGCATGGCTTACTTTTAGCTCTCTAGTTGCGCAACGCGATGTGTATAATATAACCACTAGGCTCGTTATACTAGCTCTGCGAATTTTTGCATGAGACAGCAAATTTCATTCGGTTTTCGTAGACGTGTGCAATTACCGCGAATTTATCGCATGATCTATGCTTAAGCAACGGCTGGATGCCAGGCGCGTCGTCGTACATACTCAGATATATGGCGTAATCCCTGCAGATTCGCTAGTGTCTAATCCAAAACGGGATTTCACATCGTGTGCGTGCTTAGCTTAAAGTGCTATAAAACGAAGTACGGGTGCAGTTTTGTGTGCGCGATGTCTCGAGATGGGTTTTCCAGTGGCGAATACTCCGGATACCGCACCATCTCGACACCTTCGAGCTTAATCTGGGGTGCGTTAGGCTGCAAGTGACTATCGTGCAGAAAAACCGTAGGGCACGCATTACTGGAGGCCGTGTGTTGCAAAACTGACGTGGTTGAACCGACAAAGACACGTAACTGACCATCAGTCGCGTTTCCATCGGAGTTGGACCACGGAGTATTAAGGTCAGTATCAGCGGCGTTCAGTGGTCCATTTTTTAGTGCGTAGTGTGGCTGTATCATTCCGTTAGTTGTCCAAATAAATGCACGCTTATCTGATGCGAAATCTCGTCACGCTGTTCATCATGTTCACGTCGTTTCCAACTGTCACATCGGTTGTTCTGCAAGCAAACCGTCCTACAGATACCTGGTGTGGAAATATTAAATCGGACTTTTCTCGGTGACACATGTTCAATACGTCGCTATTGAGTAAACATATGAGAAGATTTCAGGGGACTTTCCCCTTCAGTTCACGACTGTCTTTACCAACTGTTCAAGGCCGTTTTTAGCCACCTGTTCACGGCTGTCTTTACCACCTGTTCACGGCTGTCTTTACCACCTGTTCACGGCTGTCTTTACCACCTGTTCACGGACTGTCTTTACCACCTGTTCACAGGCTGTCTTAACCACTTGTTCACGGCTGTCTTTACCACCTGTTCATGGCTGTCTTTATCACATAGCTTTGTGTTCTTCCTTCAGATGGTGCATCTTTTGCTCTTCTGCATGTTTGCTGTCGTTTATAAGGTAGTGTATGGCTATTGATGTACCCAAAATCATGAAGCAATCTTTTCTGCGAAGTCGTTGCGGAAGATCAAGAACACGAAGGATGGCCTTTCATGATAAATGTTCTTAAAGACAGCCTTGTTCGAAAATGTGATAGAAAATGATGTGATAGAAAGTGATGAGATAGAAAATGATGTGATAGAAAATACAAAATACCAACGTATTCTGTAAACTTAAGTGCCCACACGAGGAATGCCTACCTCGTCGCGCTGACATCGATGGTGTCATCACCACTAGACTACCTCATTAAGCGATGCATCGAGCAGAGGTGCCCTTTTAGCCTTATGCACGGACAGCGTAATACCGCCATCACAAAAGGTCACATCACTGAAAGCGACGAAAACGTGCAACTCCTTGAAAACGTGCAACGACGCCATGTGGTTATGGCTCTCCCGAATGGAGGATGATGAGCGCGGCATCTGGTGGAAAGTGTTCATTCTTATTTGTTTTTGTGTCACGGGATGACGGGCAAGGCTGCACGTGGGAGGAAAAATCAAAACGAGATTTTTGCGTCTGCTTAACGCTGCTGGGCGCGCACCCCAAGCCTTGGTAAGGGGAGCACACAGGGTTGACAAAGGGCTCCTTGATAGCGAATGCCCCCTTCTCTCAAAAAAGAAATCGCCCGAAATGGCTAACTTCTTAGTAGAGACATTTTTTTCATTGATATATTTTATTTTTCTTCTATTACTGGTAAAAGCCTGAAGCCAACACAAGAGCAATTCGGCCTGGATTTTACAGTCTGTCAATTTTAGTCAAGCTGAAGGACTGCTTTAACTTTGGTCATCTGCTTTAAACGACCCCATGAAATAAGTCGCTGGCACTCTAATTTTGCAAGCCCCTGTGGACTATTTCTAGTCCGACTGAACACAGAAGCTTAGTCAGAGTTATTATTTGGGGTCTACAGACATATAAGGGACCCCGTGAATGTGGGTTGTTAATCGAAATAGGTCGACGATTTATATCAACATGTCCAAGCCATGGTTGTCTGGAAAAGTTCAACATTCAGTCAGAATCGATAACTGATACAAATTATGTACCATAAATTGGAGCGCGCGTATTCGCAAATCTTGGCAACAAAGACCTCGGCTCTCAGCGTTGCAGTCTCCATAGGTCGCGCAGCGTCGGCCCGGCGGCTAATAATGAGCCGTGGCCAACGGGTGGATGAAAATAACCATGCTTTTCTGAAATAAGCATCTTTGAACGCCTTAAGACACCACATGTTACATTTAGACAGTAGTCCGGACGTGCATTTCACGCATGCGATTTTTGGATCGATGATAAAACTGCGGATTGGCTATCACAGCACCGCGAAGCGCTGCTGGAATCTGGTGGTGGAACTGGAAACGTGAGGGAAGAATCTTTATTTTTCGTGTCACTATAACTGCTAATCTTTCCTGATAACAGACTGAGTGTTGTAAACAGATGCGTCCAGTCAAATTTTAAGCGATGCGAATTAATTTTGAAAGACATTCGGAACCGTCATTTCACGACGGTCATTCTCGCACACGACGCCCACCGCCCCGTGTCTTCTAAAGTGGTCAACGTCGCCCGGATACGGAGCGGACTGCGCGATGCTGATGGTGCCTGAGCGGCGTATAGACCCATATCAACTCAGGATGTCCCTGATCGGCGCGAAGGGCCTTCTGACTGTTAGGGGCCTGTTCCCGCTTGCGGGGCTCCTAAATAAGATTCTGACTAACCGTTCGTAACTTTAGACCCTCCAATGGGGCCCTTGGTCATCGAATCCAGTGGGCCTTTCAAGGCTCTGTGGGTCTCCTCGAACACTGCTTTTCGTTGGCTCGTGGCCCCTTGCCCACACAGGGCCTCGTTAGGCGCTATGGGTTTCTGATAGGCACTGGGACCCGACCAATGTAAATCGCTGGTCCCATCTTTGCCCTGCTTGGGAAGTCGGCCTTTCAGGTCCATGCCGCCACGGAGCCGACCGTGCATTGCTGGTGGTGTCTGACCGACATACGGGCCCTTATCGACTCAGGGAGCACTGATCAGCACGCAAGGCCCTCTGACTGGTATCATGGTACCCGACTCTGCGGGCCGGGGCCCTCGGATACGACCCAAGGCCGGCATTTTTGGACCTTTGGGCCCTCCAATCGGACTCTTAATCGTAGATTAGGGCAGGTAATGTCACGGTTCAAGATTGGTCCATAAGTAGTTAGAAGATCAATACACTTTTCGCAACGTACTTCTGACCAAGTTTATTGTATTAGGTAAAACTGTGAGACAAAGCGATTCCAGGCACAAAAATACCATTTGAGGCTGACCTTGAGGTCACCTGAGGTCATGCTAGGTCAAATGTATAAACCGTCCAGACGAAAATTTTAAGTGCTAACCGGGTCTATGTGTCCAGAATCATGCTTTACTGATGTTAGAAAAAACATGTTGTATATTTACAGGTATTCAAGATCGCATGGCTATTGTTTACATCATACATAGTCCATTCGACGCTCGATAATGTATTTGTCACAGACTGATGACCGGCACACTGGTAAATGCAATCACATCATCATACACATCACCAGTTCCAACGTCGTCGCTTATAGCACGTCATGTCACTGATCATTTGCTCATATCAGTTGATGTGCATACAAAAAAGCAAAACAAGCAAGATCAAATCCTCGGCTGCTTGTTGTGCGCTGTAGGTTGTCAACAACTTAGTTGTTATAATCCACGTTTGTTTGTTCTGCGCTGAGAGTTTTATACAACACAGTAGTTACGATTCATGTTTCTCGCTGCGTTCATCCCTCACGGGATTACTTGGATGTCCGAGCAGTTATGCTCATTGATGTAGCTGCAAATGTGTATGTTTCCCAGGATTGATGACGACTGTAGCTGCGCGGTTTCCTCAGCGTTCGTGTTTTTAGCCTGTATTTTAAGAATTGTCCCGTTTTGCGAATTTCATCATCTTAAACATAGATAAGAAGCGCGTTTACGAATGAAAATGAAACGGTTATGTCAAACTGCTTGCATTCCAAAGCAAATTACAGGATCATCAGCAAAAAGATAATGTGCGTGCATATGCATGACAGATGAGCCATTATTGAAACGCACAACGTTTCACCTCTCTGTGTTTTACTCGGTAGAGCAAAGCATAAACTGCCTCTATAACTTATCTGTCCACTAACCAACAATGTGGTCGGTGCAGGTGCGAAGCATGTCATGTGACGTCAGGATCTGATTCGTTTCTGGGTATTACAGATTTTCATATATCCTGTCAGACGTTTAACGTTGCCCCCCCCCCCCCCCCCCCGCTCTCCACTTCGATACATGGGTCTTTCCAATGAAAGGCCACGAGGAAGTGCAATACACATTTAAGGCCCAAATCCTTAGTGTGTTGAAACATAATAAGAAAGTTACATTTGTTTTATATCAGGTCAGGCCACCGATAACAATATGTAAGCAATGCACTAGTTTGTACTTGGTGGAAACTTCTCTTTAGCATGGATAGCATCTTTTCCTGGCGTGTGTACGCTGCACCTTTTGAATGGGTTCAACTATCACTGATGGTACAGATAATTTTGCCGACCAGGTCATTAGCCGTTTTGAAGCATGGCGCGAGTGGATGTGTATCGTGCAGTCGCAACTCGCCCAAGAGGGTTTTCACAGTGGTAGCCATGGACTGCGTCCTGTGCCATAAAATAATGATTTTCGGTGAAGCCAGTGGCCGATGGACAAGCGCCCGGTAACACCTTTCGTGACAGCACCCAACTTCCATCGTACCTTCTCGAGTAGTTGCGTTTTAACAGTCATCTACAACAGCAAGCAATTCATTTACGAGTGCGGTGCCGTTGTCAACTTGGCCAACAACCTGGAAATACATAAGGAATTGTGTTGAATTATTGTGTGCAAAGCGATGTAAACAAATTGCCAGTTTTGCCATCATTGTACCCGAATAACACACGCAGACATCTGGCGGGACGCGAGAAACACGCCCACCCCGCTTGCTAAGCATTTGTAGTAACAATTAGACTAAAACTGCTCTCACATGAACGGATATAAGTTTCTCTATGCGTAAATATTAGTGTGTGTAACTGCTCTAAGGGAACTTTGGAATCATGAATCGTAAATCAGTCATGAATCGCGAGATCATTATCCCACGATTCGGGCTCACACTCCCGTAGCTTAGCTCCATCGTGGCGCTGATCCGGAGCTGCTGTCCATAGATTCTCCGGCTCCGACGCACTCGCTCGTTGACCGGATCGCACCACCATTTGAAGCTCTTCAACCCACGTACCACGTACCCCATGCCACCCGGACGGAGGCGGTGGACGTCATTCATCCGCCAGCTCTCGGCCTGTCGGTGACGCGCGGGGCTTTTTCGTATTGTGCGGCCGCATCCTGGAGGCTCCCGCCGCCGACCATCGGTACCTTTCGCACGCGCAGTGAGTTTCTTACCAGGTTAGAGGATTTAGACGGCCCCGATGGGCTGTCAATGTTTTCTTGCCATTGTATAACATGCGTTGACGATTTAGGCCTTGAGTAATCCTTTTTTCGACGAAGTGTGACCACCCAGCGTGAACCACTGGATGGTTGAAAATATGTGAATGTGGTCGCATTGTTGTCATGTTTTCATATTGCATTCATGCTACCTTTATAGTTGCACGGAATCAAACAATAAGCCACTTGTAATAATCCGTGAATGCAATGGACTGAGCTGAACTGAAGCTAATCCGCGGCCCGCTGGGGGAGTTGAATCCCTCTCATGGTTTTTCGAGCACAGGTCAAAAACGAACGCTTGCGACCATTTGCGCAAAGTTGAATTTTAATCTATTAAGATCGGTAACTTAGGTCACGTGACAGAGGCCAACCTCTAAAATCCTTTTACCGAACATTGCTGTTTTGTAATGCATTTGCCATTGTCCAAACTTGCTTTAGTAATAGAACACGATAATACTTGCAGTTTACATCTTTCATATTTTTCAAAACAGGCGAGGTTAGTGGCCTGAGTTCAGGTCAATGCTTGCTACTTTGTGCTAAGAAAGGCCAATTTGCACGCATTTTTGTGTAGTCTGGTGTTTGTATGCGAGGAAAAGAGCATTAATTTACATGCACAAGCATCATATGACCACAGAGCACATGTCTTTGAGCCAGGTCATGACCTACCTCTGTGGACGCCCTCCGCAAAACACATACTGAACTC